AATATATAGAAATATAGTATGAAAAACAAACAAAAAATCTTAATATGTAATTATTTCTATTATTAATATTAATATAAAGTCAACGTCGGACGTTTCGGCTCATTTTAATTATGTTTAATGAAAATGTCCTGATGATGGTCTCCAAAAATAGACCGAAGCGTCCGACGTTGACTTTATATTAACATTATTACAGTTATAATTGCATATTAAGATTTTTGTTTGTTTTTACTGTATATTTTTCTTCATATATATATATATATATATATATATATATATATATATATATATATATAGATAGATAGATAGATAGATAGATAGATAGATAGAGAGAGATAGATAATAATAGTGGTAAATATACACATACTCAGAGAGAGAGATAGATAGATAGATAGATAGATAGATAGATAGATAGATGTCATGCCATATTATGAAGCCTCACTTAAAACCTCAGCATAATGGCAGTAAGAACGAGGCTGAGCTTTGTGCCTGAACAGGGGTCAGCAACAAGGATTGTCCAGACAACATAAAAGAGGAGTGTGCTCGAAGAACAAGTACCCAGATATATATGGATACACATCTATCTATATATCTATATATCTATATCTATATCTATCTATATATATATATATGTGTGTGTGTGTGTTTGTTTGTGTGTGTGTGTGTCTGTGTCTGTGTGTGTGTGTATATAAGTGGCGGATATTAGATACAAACAGAGACGATATTTTGTTCCAGCCTGAAACTCACAGTTGACTCCAATTTTCACTTTTATATCTACATAGGTTCTATCCCTGATAATGAGCCCTTTACCATAAAAATAACCTATAAATCTAACATATCTTAAAACTATATATTATCATATTATATATATATATATATATATATATATATATATATATATATATATATATATATATATATTTGTATAGTTGTGTAATTGGGCAGCAATCCCACTTTTTATGCAATTTCTTCAAGAGCGACTGACAAGGGACTGTGATTTTTGTTTGTATTTAATTTTTCATGTGTTCTTAGATTTTTCTTTTTTTCCGGACACAAATTAAGTAGAAATTTTCGAAATGCTTTGTATGTCCAATGACTTTTGCCTGTATTTTTAGTCATAAGCAAATCTATCCAAAATATACTCAATGATTATAAAAAAAATATTACCCGAAAATAAAACAAATTATAACACAAGAAATATATATTAATATATATATATATATATATATATATATATATATATATAAATATATTATGGACAAATTTAGGATGAAATCTGAAAGAATATTGATGAGAGCCCGGGTACTTGATCACTAACTTGTGAATCTCTATGATAATGATGTACCAATCTATTGGATATTATTATTAATTCGAGGTATAATTGTTTCTATTGACATGGTAATGAAGATAACTTGTAACAACTTCTTACTAAAATCTAGTCTATTTAATAAGGGGATTGATATTAGATAAGTGTAAATAACGTAAGAAAAGTTGGTTTCGCCTGATATCAGTCACTTCATATCTATCTATCTATCTATCTATCTATCTATCTATCTATCTATCTATGGGGATTTATCTATGAATCTATCAGAACATATGGGGAGTTGTCATAGATGAAGCGTCAGAACATATAGGTGTGTGTGTGTGTGTATGTGTGTGTGTGTGTTGCGTGTGGGGGGGACTGAGGTCAACGAAGAATGTTGACAGTCTGTTTAATCTTCATGCCATGACATTTGGTTCTTGACCTCAGCAGATGCTGCTACATGTACATATTACCCTTAAATATAATATACTTAAATACATATATATTTTACTTTTATATATAAATAACTATATTTTTCAATAATTTATATATATATATATATATACATATATATATATATATATACACATATATATATATATATATATATATATATATATATATATATATATATGAACAGAGAGTGAAATGGTGATAGGCAGGCCGAAAATAGAAAGATATTTAATCACTTACAAAGAAAAAAAATTAAATAATACAAAGAAATCGATGAAATTTGAGATAGTTAACACTATCTAACATGTGTAGCGGTCAAATTTTTACAATTCGGTCGTCAGTGTTTAGCGTCGTTTTGCAGCGCTGCCAGTAAACGTTCGGCCAAAATCGATGAGGATCCCAGGTGCTATGTTATAACGATAAAACCCCCATCGCGAGAGAAAAGGACAGAGTATCAGAGAATGCAAACGAAATGAATAAAAGAAATAAATAAAGAATCCCGGGCAGAAACAAAGCAAGATTATCATTAAACATTTTATAGAAGAAATATAAAGAGATAAAACATAGCCAATAGGAATAATGGAATGACAGAATAATTAGAATATGAATGGATACAGAGTTAAATGAGTTAAAAGCCGGGCCAGACGGACACCGGCATCGGCAAATTGATGAGTCGGTTGTGTAGTAAGAGTAACACGATTGAGAATGTCAGTTGAAATTATGGATGATTACGTATTCGACAGAGTA